TATATATATATATATATTCCTAAACATAGTTTTCTAAATCTATTAGTAACTTGAAACTTAAGAGTTTTCCAAGATGAGTTACATAACAAAAATTATTGCATATCTACATAGTTTGAAATAACATAAAATGCTAAAAACATTAATTAATAGACAAGTCTAAATTTACTTACATTTGGTTTTTATTACAGAAAAACTAAGAAATAAATTTGGATGTTAATGAATGTATCTTGTGCTTTATTAAAAATGTTTTTTAATTGTGAATATATTTGCCAATGAATGAGCCTATGTTTCTAAAGGTTATGAAATGTATTCATAAATTTGTCAATCTACAGAATATTGATTGCTTACTTTTTAGTTGTCAGTAGGAATTATGGTTTCTAAAGTTAAGAATTCTAAATAGAAAGAAACCAGTTTTGAATTGAAGATATATTTTTGAAGGAAAGTGGTTTGTCCTGAAGTTGGTTATTTCTGAATGAGTTGAAAAGAGGCAAACTAAGAGAAATGAGAAAAGTTATGAAAGGTATGTGAAGAGGAACCTTAAGAGAGGAAAGTATATCTGTGGTTAAGTGGAATAAAATAGAAATAAATTCATTTAAGTAAATAAATTTTAATGTTAAAAATGTTCTCTTTTGCTCTCTTAAAAAGACAAAAGTTTTTCCTCTATTGATTGTTCTACTCGCAACACAATGTTATAAAAAATTTTCTGCTTGGAAGGCAAATAATCTGTTTTATTTGTTTTCTGTTTTCTTTTGTCTTAATCAGGTCCTTGATTACTTACTTAAGAAAACAATATTGCCTGCTGAAACTGGTTTTGCTCAGTGGATAGAGTGTCGGCCTGCGGACTGAAGGGTCCCAGGTTCTATTCCGGTCAGGGGCATGTACCTGGGTTGTGGGCACATCCCCGGTGGGAGATGTGCAGGAGGCAGCTGATCGATGTTCCTCTCTCACTGATGTTTCTAACTCTCTATCTCTCTCCCTTCCTCTCTGTAAAAAATCAATAAAATATATTAAAAAAAAGAAAAGAAAACAATATTCCCAATCGTAACAACTAAAAGTTTGCTAACAATAGCTAACTTATATTTAGGTTTGATGCCTCTATTGCCACTTTGAGTAAATGAATAATTTAATGTTGATAGGACACTGAGACAGGATACTGAGACCCGGGGCCTCTTAGGATAGGGCTGAGGATCAGCCATAGCTGTTTGCTCTGCCCTGTTGATTTCCTGAGACCCTGCCCCACCCAAGCTGCTAGCAGAGGCTTTTGCATATGAATGGGTTGGCCCTTTGAGATCTAAAATTACCTAACAAACTGCAGCTGGGTCAGAGAGACCCAGATCATCCAAAAGATGGCCCAAGGCCCCACAACAGCTTGCACTGCTTCACAGCTGGGCCTCATCTGGGCACCTCCAAACCCCAAACAAGGAAGAGGAATCTGCAGATCTCTCAATATCTCCTGCTGGGTAGCCTCAGGCAGAGGCTAAATTAGAACCTACTTAGAGATCCAAGTG